GTGTTACTTGTTTCTTTGTAATTGTGAAATTTGTTTCTACATCCATTTTTTACAGACACTTTTTACTTCGGTTTCTTTCATGTATGAAAATGTTTGAATGTGTCGTTTTCATTGTGCAAATGACAGGTTGAACGCATGATTGACAGATTAAGGGTCAAGGGGTTTCAAAATTCTTCAGAAGATGTACGTGCATTTCTTTTTCTTTTTTCCCCAAAGTGTCAGTGATCAAAGATTGCATCTGCATCTTTGCATTGCAATGTACCTCGATGCTCTCTCTCCAGCAGTAGTGAATTGCCAGTGTGTGTTTGTACGCAAATGAAAGGCCCTGTCATGAAACTATCAGTAAAAGCCTTGAATTTGTATGAATATGTATGCATCTCGTGTGTTTTTTTTTACACTTTACACATTTATAAAACATTAGCAACTTGAGTAGGGATATCAGGGTTTACACTGATTTTTCGAAGTTGTAAATAAAACAAAGATTATTGGAGTTTTGCAAGAAAATATATATATATTTTTTTTGTCTAGTCACATTTAATTCAATGTGTTACTTGTTTCTTTGTAATTGTGAAATTTGTTTCTACATCCATTTTTTACAGACACTTTTTACTTCGGTTTCTTTCATGTATGAAAATGTTTGAATGTGTCACTGAAGTCAAGTGTGGGAAGGAGTTCACCCAATTTCTAAACTTGTTATTCTCAAATCCTAAGAGCTGCAGTTATGATGAAGATTATGATGATGATTGTGGTTATTAGAGGAAGTTATTTGGCTTATAGAAGCATGACTAATAAAAGAAATGTTCCAGGTGATGCAGTGAATGTTTTTGTGTATGCGAAAATTACAGCCTATTTAGGCTTATTTGTACTTAGTGAGGGGAAAAAAAATCTGTACATTTCTGAAGTCTGTGTAATTGATGTTATTTTTTCCAGCTTATGTTCACTCCTGATCTAATTTTATAGTTGCATAGCACACTACTGTGTATGGAAGCCTTGAATCACAAAGTGGGGACAAAGGAGGTGAAAAAACACAAGTTAAAAACACATTTGAGTCCATTTCACTTTTTTGCTGTATTTTTCCAGATTTTTCTCCATTAAAAAAAAATAGTATAGCATAGTTAGGGTTGATATATTTGAAGAAGAAAAAAAAAGATAGAGAAAAATCAAATAATTTGAAGATCATGGAGGAAAAAGTTATGGGGAAAATAGACAAAAAGTACTTAAAAAATAAATGAATAAAAATCGCCATGTAATTTTCCTCCTTTGTGGTTCAAGGATTCCAGAACTGCATCATAAGTGTAAGAAATGGTTGGAGTTTTTCTTTCTTTGATTTTTATGACATTGTGCTTCGCCTCAGGTCTTTCTAACCTTTTGACTGCTGGATCAAACCCAAACTGAGACCGTTTTTAATGTCAGTTAAATGCCATTCTCACGCCCAGCACAATGGCCTTTCTTTAATGCTTCATAAAACAGCTTTGTTCAGTCAAACTGACCGGATCGGACGCATGCAGAGACCAAATTCAAGTACAGCCAAACGAGGGTATTTCATGGGCACATTCTTAAGATAAAAAAGGTCAGGTTTGCGAGTGGGGAAAGCGTACTAAAATTATGTGAATTATAACATGCCTGAGTGACAAACAGCTGCTCTGTGGGGTTTTCCGTTCTTACTTCTATTTCTTGACACATTTTGTTTATGGAAGTCCTAAAAAGAGCTCAGTTTTAAGGTTTGATAACAAACAAAAAATTGAAGAGACAAATGTTCAAACTGGTATACAATAATTAATAACCTGTCCGCACATCGAGAGCTGTACAAGTTTTCATACAGAAACATTGGAGGCAAGTATTACTAGAGTCGCAAAATGAAAGCGCACTGCTGCCACTTTCTGGATATTTAATGCAACATCCCAAATGTATACACACGTGTGTGTGTGTGTTTATTTATTTGTATGTTTGTTTGTCAAAACACAGCAATGTAATAAAATGTCATAAAATAGATTTGCATTTCCTGAATGAAATACCGGTATTTGAAAGGCACTTCACCTTTGGCGTAACAATCGTCTAGATGTCCAGCGGTCCACCACACAATCATCTGAAATGTAAATACGGGTACAGGCCAATCACAATACAGTATGCAAACGACCAAGACGACCAATCCCGATTCGATATGCAAATATTATTATAACGACATCAATGTCTGTTACATGGATGGCCGCTCAAAAATGACAATTCTGTCTTACATTAATGTCACCTTCAATTTACACACAAGCCTGGCTATTTTATGGTGTTTTATTTGTCCCTTTTGAGCTCGACAGCCTCAGTCCTCGTCCATTTTAATTGTATGGACCTAACAATTTAATTTCCACAGAGAAAATAAACAGATAATACTGAAAATGACACGAGGGCGACTAAATGACAGAATTGTAATTTTTGAGAGAACGTCTTCAGGTATATTACCAAAAGCATCTACAAAACCAATTAAATTGCCAAATACTGTGGAGAAGAGCACTGTACTGTACAGTACTGTTTTGCAGGCACTGTAATAATCATAACTACATGATTTCAGAATGAGTTTAACATTATAATAGTTTATTTGGATGTTAACAAAAAACAAAAACACAGCATTGAGTTTGACATGGCAGATAAACAAAGACAATCCAAGATGAAGCTCCACTGGAATAGTAAATGCCAGAATTCAGCAGGACATAATATGTGGTATTTACTTGACATCTCTTACCTCAGTGCTTTCCCTTGGAAAACAAACACAAGGAAATGAATTAAAGCTGAAGTGTGTACTTTTTAATGTTTAAAAGACTTTATCCTCCCAGTTAAATATGCAGAGATACCTACTAGTAAGCCATTCATAAGCTAAATCCTGCTATAAGAGTAAAACTTTGCTGTTTGAGAATCCCGACCAGCCCGACACAGCAACACTGGCTCAACCAATGGCGTGAGTTTAGGGTGGGGCTAAATTTTCGTTTGACCAATGGCGGAAAGGGAGCATGTCCAATCCCGTTTGGTGCCGCTAACGGCGCAGAAAATACACACTTTACCTTTACTTTAGGAGTTCATATGGCAACTGCGTTATCTAGCATTAAAATACCATACTACATGTGCCATGGTGACATGAAATACAAAAAACATTCAACCAGAGGTTTTATTTTAAAATCGATGGCAAGACAATGGCACAAATTTTTTTTTTGAGGAAAATATAGAGTCTGGAAGCCCAGCTGGGTCCAAGTTTTGAGAAGCTAGAACAGGACCAAATAGTTTAAGGTTTCATAACACATGTTTGAGACAATGCAGATTTTTCCAACACATTATATCATAATCCTATCAGAATTGATTGAAGATCTGAAAGGGGTAAAGCAAACCAAACATGTAACTTTATGGAGTACCCTATTTGTTTGTGTACACACTCCATACAAAGGCCTCATTGGAGAAAATGGACATTCATTGGGTCGTACCATCAGACTGAACAGAGAGAGAAGGAAATGCTGGTCGAGCTGCAGTGCAAAAATGGTGAAGATATGTGGCATAACAGAATCATCCCTAGAGGATCCAATCTCGTTGTCCCACGCACCATAAACACAAGGCTAAAATCAATATTTGCAGATGTGTTTGCCAAGCTTTAAACGACTGTGGCTGTTCTGAAACACTCACTTGCCATTTCACCTTGTGCAAATCCATTTTCTACTCATAATTACATTGTAGTGTACTTGACAGGATACAGAAATCCTTTTTGGAGAAAGGCCAAACATATTCTGCTTACTTGGTTACAAGGCTAGCTACTGATTTTATCCAAATGGATCCAGCGACAAAACAGTGACTGAATTTACACTTAAAAACCTCTCCCTCCTGTTCAAATGTGCAGGATTGTAGCGTTCCATTAGGTATATATATATATATATATATATATGTCAGTGTGTGTGTGTTTATAGACAGCATTCTAATATATTAATGTATAAAATATATCATCTAAAATAGCTTTGACAGTTTGGCTTTTGGAGTCAAAATATAAAATGTTAAAAATACAAAAACAGCCATATTTGACCGTTCTCCTCTGTCCTTAAAAGTGTCTTCGGTGTATACAAGTGTCTGTAGTTTTGTGAATTTAAATTTGTGTTTGGAACAGTAAGTCACATGCCCTGTTTATGCCGCCAGCGACTTGCATGTCACCATCCGCCGTACTGGTTGGTTGCTTGTTCAATCTCATTTTTTATTTTAAACAAACCAATTTACGCTGCTAAAATAAACATTCTGGAAGGAAACGTGTTGTATACAAGTTGTAACAGTGCATTATGCATCATAATAAAGATGAACGAGAATCAGTGCGTGCTCTTTGTCAATGTGGGCGGCCATTTATCTGTCTCGAAAGCATAAACGCTGGGCTATTTGGGTCGACATACACTTAATTGTCATATGCATCGTTTTTTTAAATACTGTCCCCGCACATGATTAGAGAGACAAATTGCTGGCTGCAAGGACAAAATTTAGTCAAAGCGATTCTCGACTACAGTATCTGACTGAAGACAGATTGACATGCTCCATCAGATCAGTCTAAATTTGTTGCATTGTTGGACCTGGGCAAATCCCAAACCTGAAAATGAATGACTTTGGGTCCTTTCAAGTTAATTCTCAACTCTAGATCATTCAGAGGTAACACTGTCTATGCTAGCTCCTTTACCAGTAACAACCACAGTCGCTGCGGCAAAGTTCGGGAAACCATAAAGGGTTTGTAGAGCTGCTGTGCTCACTATGGCCTTCTACCATAAATTAGCTCATTGTGATATCTCTATCTACTGTGATATCACCTAGACAGTGTTGAACCCAACAGGACCATATGAACAGAACTCTTTACATACACTGATGAATCATATACACATAAAACATGTGTTTTACAGGTATATTGGCTTCAGTGTTTTCATGCAGTTTTGTTTTGGAGCAACCGGGACCAGTCGGTGGAGTCCCGCCACACCTGAGAGACCCAAAGCCAGGTGCAGAGAATGCAGTTCATCTGTCCTCTCTTGCCAATCAATATAAGAAATATAAGACTGGGAGAACTGCTTTGTATACCTTGAGATTCCTTTGTTTCTTTGGTCTCTGAGGATGAACCATCTTTCTGAGCTGTTCCATGCCTTAAATAAAGGGGGCAAAGCCCTCCATTAATCCTACAGGAAGTCTTAAGTGTGCAAAGAGGCCACTCTTAGACTGGCTGAGGGCTGTTTCTGAACAAATCCTATTGTGATTGGTCCAGGAGGATGCCCTTCAACAGCCTGGCAGGCCCGGCCCACAGCGCCTCCTCTCCATGTCATCTCAAAAATGTTCTGAATATCAGACATTGAGTGTTAACTGCTGTTAGGTCCTCCATTTAGGAAGTAGGTTGTCATTTCTCCTTTGCCCTTGACTTTCACAACGCCTCTGCACTCCAGTGTGTAGTTATAGGAGCTGAGAACCTGGTAGAGGTCAGTTGTGACCTGATACAGAGAGAAATTAAGAGCACATGAGTATTTATAAAAAACCGAAGAGTTTGTAAAGCAGAATCGACAGATTTACTGATCTTAACTTGAGACCACTAGTGAAAATGCTTGTGTTCTACATTTTTAAAAAATTTTTTTATTAATAATAATAAAACAAATAATTAAATTAAAATGATGAACAATTATTTACAAATTACCTTCTTTTAATTAATATTGTATATTTATTTCAAATTATATTAGACCGCTCTGCATTGTATTTTCTGAATGAAATCCAATGCTTGTTTCTTACTAATTTTGAGGTGCTGATTCCAAAAATTGTGCCTCTTTTGCTCTAGCACATCACACTTTCTCACAAAATATGTGCAAAACATATATATATATATATATATATATGTATACACACACACACACAATTTGAAAAATCCTCATTTTTAATTTGTGAAAAAACTGTATGTGGTGGAAAGTTTATTTTTTATTATTATATTTTTTAACTCAACATCATCAAATTAGGTAATATTAAGCCTTTAACTGCAAATAAGCAGACTTTTTGTTTCAAGATGTAGGGCTTATTATTGTTATTAATAACAATTTAAGTGAACATTTAAATAAACCACAAAATAGCAGCAACATTAAATATTTGTTAATCATGTCACATGATGTTTCTTTGTTTATTAAACATTTTCAACACCATAAAACTGTATTTATTTCCAGGTTTAATTTTGAATGACAGATTTTCAGTGTGGACTCAATCTTTTAGACCCTACAGTACATAAAGGATCAAAAATGCATCTCACCTGTATTCTCTCAGGTACCCCAGTGCTGTCCATACGGCTGGCTACATTCACAGTATTCCCCCATATGTCATATTGCGGTTTACGAGCCCCTATGACACCAGCCACGACGGGACCTATATTGAGACCTACAGTACAAGGTAATTCATGAGCTCTCTTGACAACATACTTTTCATTTTACAACAGTAAAATATATGGGTCATTCTATTAAAGTCTTTATCTGACAGAGTGTTTAAATCCTACAGAAAGCCTTTTTGAAAGGGTAAAGGGACCATTTCATAAAATGACACAAATGAAAATTATTAAGGGAGGTGATTGGTGGAAATGTAAGTGTGGCTAAGCCAAATCCTTACCGATCTTCATTTTGAAGTTATTGAAAGAGTGCTCATTGATGTATTTCATCTGGTCCATGAGGCGCATAGCGTAGTCGGCTAGAGCGCGAATGTGCGACCTTCCTGCTTTATCATAAGTGGAGTCATTAAGCCCAGACGCGACCATATAGGTGCTGCCAATGGTTTTGATCTTTTCTAGTTGACGAAACTGATCCTCACTAATGATCTGCAAGAAAAGTGAAATAAGGTGATGATGACTTTCATCTAGAAATGAGAAGGTATTAAACTTCTACATTTCTAAGAATACAATCAGTTTAGAAAGATTTGAAGATGTAGGCTTTACACACACACTGCTTTAATTTGAAATAAAGACCATCTGTTGCAAAATAAATTTAAAAATCTTTCATGCAAGAACTAAAATACAGTATAAATCTAGTTAAAAAAATAAGGGCTGTTTTCCATTTATTTACTAATAAATACTAATAAATAACACAATAAACGCACATATATACAGATTTGACAAAGAACACATTTAAATATAAATTACTTTAAACTGATTATTGTTTTTATTTTTTGTTTTATTATTATTATTTTCATGATTGATAGTCTTTTCAACACCAAATGCAGCTTTTGCAAATAAGGTTTAGAAAATGAAACGCAAGAAAGTTAGTAAATTTTACAGTATCACACTCCAAAGTAGCTTAAAAGCATCGCAACAGTCTGGAGGTTTGTCAGAAATTGCTGTACCTCATCAAAGTCAGCAATGATCTCGTTGAGTAGTCTCAAGCACTCCACACCTTCATTATTGGCCTCCAGTTCCACGTAGAACTCAGAGAAGTTGCTGATAGAGGCAAACATGACAGCCACACATTCGCACGACTGATAATACAGCTCGTCATTCCGCCGCTCGCGTGCCAGAAAGTGTGCAGCCACATCTTTGGGCAAGATGTTGTGGAGAAGCCGACGGTTATAGGCCTGAAGTTCCTCCATCTCCTCTTTCTCCTCTGTGGCCTGTGAATACAACAAAAATAGAGGATGATGCTACAAACAACAGAAAGGTAGAACAAACAACTTGATAAATGCTGCACTGCTGCAACACTGAAAGCCAAACTGGATCAATATGTGGCTTTACTGCTGACAGCAATATATGTAAACATTACATAAATTCAAACGTTGAAACCTTTGGGGTTGGTGAGATTGTTTTTAAATGTTTTTAATGAAGTCTCCTATGCTCACTAAGGCTACATTTATTTTAGCATAAATGCAGTAAAAACAGTAATATTGTGTAATACTATTACAATTTAAAATGACTAATATATCTATATGAATATAGATATGTATTTGAGTTCAAAGCGGAATTTTCAGCAGTCATTACGCCAGTCTTCAGTGTCACATGATCCTTCATCACAGATCATTCTAATATGCTGATTTAGTGCTGCTTGGTACTGTTCTGCCGCTGTACACCCATGTATACGTCAAATGACAGACCCCAGACTTTTATTTATTTGATGGACAGCAATACATATTTAACAGCTTTTCACAAAATATCTGCATTATTGCAAAGTCATACACAGATAAACACACCTGTAACTTCCAGAGAAAGTCCAGTCTGGCTGTAGACTCCACCTGCTGTGCATGAAGGTAGAGCGCCAGCACAAAGACCGTGATGACGACTGGAGTCATGATCTTTAGAGGAACCCGCGTGTCTATCACACAGCTACAACATACAGAGCGCTGAGCATCAATGATTTCACACTAAAAGGCAACAGCATGATGATCTAAAGCATTCAAATCAAATCACATACATGTTAATCTGTTAACATGATTAATATCATATCACAACACTATCAGGCTACATGGTCACACATTTGATTTATTCCTATGGTGACAGCAATCTTTATAGTCATGCAATAAAAACAACATGCTCACTGCCATTTCTTTGAGATCTGGGTTTATATTTCATTGATTTTATCTTACCTTGTTCCATTAATATACTCTCTGTGAAGAGAAAGAAAAAGCAAATGTATCAGATGGACAGAGCACAGCAGTTCAACTGATAAGACAAACCAGCAAGTAAACACTCAACAGAGGATTCATTATCATGGCTATATATAATTGTAAACTAAAGTTGACTGAATTACAGTAATTGATACTGTGAAAATTTATACTGTGCCTACTTATGCTACTGTCCAAAAGTCCGGAAATTAAAACTTCTATTCAGCAAGGATAGATTAAATTCAAATAAATGCTTTTGAACTCTATTCATCAGAGTACTGAAAGAAAATGTATCACGGTTTTCACTAAAAATATTAAGCAGAACAACTGCTTTCAACATTGATAATAAGAAATGCTTCTTGAGCAAAAAAATTCAGCATATCAGAAGGATTTCTGAAGGATCATGTGACACTGGGGACTGAGTAATTAAGTTAAAAAATTCAGCTTTGCATCACAGGAATACATTTTAAAATATATTAAAATGGAAAATATATATTTTAAACTGTAATATTTCACAATATTACCGTTTTACTGTTTTTTATCAAATAAATGCAGCCCTTGCGAGCAGACTTCTTTCAAAAACATAATTTTTTAATGTAAAAAAAACCCCAAACTTTTATATATTGTGTATTGCATTCAGTCACAACTGTGATCTAAAACATGTTAGGGAATATTTAGCAGTCCCTTAAATTTGGTAGGGACATGTTCTAACAATCCATAATTTATTTATTTTTTAAATCACAAGACAACCTTAACGTTCAAAAAAAATAATCTACATTTTCTATAGAATATATAATAGGAATGATGATGAGGAGGAGGGCGGTGCTGATCCAAGTAATTGTGCAACTAGCCTAAAATCTAGATACTCACATAGCATTGGCCATGACCAGCAGGTCCACGTTGTCAAAAAGGCTGACCTCAGGCACCTCCATGATGAGCACGTACAGGATCTCAATGAAGAGCATGAGGAAGAGTTTACCAATACTGCTGATCTGTAGGAACACTGAGCAGGCCAGTAAACTGAGCAGCACACATGAAGAGAAATACTGTCGAAAGAGAAAAACATTCAGGCATTAGTCTTTCTCTTTCCCCTTAACTTATTCTATATATGATTTATCAAAGACAAGCATTTCAGAGCAGTGCCTAAAATTACAACTATGAAAAATAAATGTAAAGGCCTATCACTGCTGGAAAATATCGATTTAAGTTGTCAGGCATGGAACATGGTACTATTAGCTAGTTTCAAGCTGGTCCAAATGAGTTAGTAGCTAGTCCAAGCTGCTCACTGACTATATAAAGGAATAGTTCACTCAAAAATGAACAATTGCTGAAAATGTATTCACCCTCAGGCAATCCAAGATGATGAGTTTATAACCTTGTGAAGCGAAAAGCTGCATTTTTCTAATAAACAAATATGTCATTAAGACGTTTGAACTTAATTTAATAACGTATCCTCCAGTAAAAAAAAAGTACATCCCCTGTTGTGCTCTCACATCAAAATCAACCAACATATTTGTTTAGAACTGTTTTGGACTGTTTTTGCTTGTAAACAACGCTTGATCTGTGGATATTTCTCTCCTGATTCAGACGATTCATTACTTTTTTCACTGGAGAAAGTAATATTATGGATAGAGGACTCGTATTCCAACTAGAAGCAATGGTTCGAAGTTAAAAACCAACTTAATAACTGATGGACTGAAGTCGTTTTGAATTACTTGTGTATTATGAGTTTTTTTTTTCAGCTGTTTGGACTCATTGGACTCTCATTCTGACGACACCCATTCACTGCAGAAGATCCTTTGGTGAGCAAGTGAGGTAATGCTAAATTTCAAAACTCAAACTCATCTGCATCTTGGATGGCCTGAAGTTGAGCACATTTTTTGGTGAACTATTCCTTAAACTATTCACTATGTTACAAAACTAAACTGATCTGAAAACAGTGCTACACCTCTGGGAAATTGCAGGTGGGTGACAAGCTGTTGCAGAGACTGCCCTGAGACCAGAGAGAGTAGTTGAAGGAAGAGCTGCGGACATGGCAAGCATTTACAACGCTGGGGCTGATGTTTAACTCCTGCCCTAAACATGTCTTCAGGTCATCCGTACTGCAGGTAAACTACAGGACAGACAAACATTTTCTCAGATAAAAGTACATGACAGTATTTCATTTAATCACTACAGATCACATTAACAAACTGTGAAGCACTTCAATGTTAGAAGTCAATTACTTAAAATTATATGATTTCAGCACCACTAGCAACACTATACATGATTGCAAAACTATTTCTATTTTTTTAAATAGATTTAAATTTTTTTTGCAATTCTCTCTTTACACCTGAAAGTCTTTAAATATTTTCAGATGTAATGTATGAAATAACTAAATATCAGAGGCATTAAGGCACACAATCCTGAGGTTAAGACTTGTGAGACTCACAATGTTAATGAAAGCGGAGAGAAAGACCAGGACGGTTGTAAAAACCCCCACCAGGGTGCTGTTGATTCTGGACTGAACAATCCTTTTTGAGAGAGTTTGCAGAGGCACAGGGAAAAACTGTCAATAGAGAGAAACATGAATTGAATTTCACAATATTACTAAACATAACTTTAACTATAACTTTTAATGTTGTCACATGATGAAAATCTATTTTTTTTAATGATTTTTTTATTTTCAAATAAAAGTGTCAAATGAAAAGTATAAAAGTAAATCTGAAATGATTTTCTTTTGAACCTTCTACTCAAAGAATCCTGAAAAAAAATGTATCACCATTCCCACAAAAATATTTTGAAATGTTATCAACATTGATGATAATACAAAATGTTACTTGAGCACCAAATCAGCATATTAGAATGATTTCAGAAGGATCACTTGACACTGAAGACTGGAGTAATAATGCTGAAAATTCAGGTTTGCCATCACAAGAATAAATTACACTTTGAAAACATATTCAAATAGAAAACAGTTATTTTAATAATATTTTACAATATTATTGTTTTTACTGTAATTTGTATTAAATAAATGCAAATTAAATACAGTGTGTGTGTGTGTATATATACACATATATACACATATATATATACACACATATATATATATATATATATATATAAATATACACACACACATACACACACACTACCGGTCAAAAGTTTGGGATCAGTAAGACTTGTAATGTTTTTTAAAGAATCAGCATATTAGAATGATTTCTGAAGGATCATGTGACACTAAAGTCTGGAGTAATGATGCTGAAAATTCAGCTTTGCATCACAGGAATAAATTAGATTTTAATGTATATTAAAATAGAAAAACTTTATTTTACATCATAATAATATTTCACAATATTACATTTTTTCCTGTATTTTTGATCAAATAAATGCAGCCTTGATGAGCATAAGAAACTCCTGTACTTTTGACCAGTAGTGTATATAAAACATAAGACAAAGACCTTATTGATCTTGTTGGTTTGCAGAGATTTTATAGAACAGGCTTTTATATGAAAGACTTTTCACAGGTCAGGAAGTTCAGAATCTAATTCCACAGCATCTCTAAGGAAAGACCTGTGACGCCCCTTGCCGCCCATTGAGCAATGCAGTGACATTTCCACCTCAGTGTGCACAAATGAGCTGCCAGCGCTTTATTGTGTCTCTGGCTTTGCTCTGTGTGACTCACTGTCTCTGGAGACCAGCTCAAAGTTACGCAGCTAAAAGCCCCAAATCAATCAAACCCGCTCAGATTGTTTTAGTGGAGAATTTGAAGGTTGATAAACACTTGGATTTAGCGATGATGTCTCTGTGAGAATGTTAGGAAATGGCCTGTGAAGGACGTCTTAAGTTGTATTGTATTCTAGGGCTGAGGACAGGGTTTTTGTGTTTTCCTGCATTGTTGTACGGACAAAAAAAAAAGCATGTTGCTCAAGGCTTGTCCTCCAAATTTATTATATTTATATTGATTTTATTATATAATTATTATTATTCCGAATTTCATAAAAATTGCACATTAACATTATATAGGCTATATTTCGCACAATACCAACATTTCACTCACCCCAAAACAGGAGTAAATGGCTGAGATGAACATGACAGCCATCACGAGGACCAGGCACAGCATATAGAAGCCAACCATCAGCCCAGAGCTGCAGAGCAACACACAGGTGTAGAGAGGGAACCAGGTGAATAGAAAATAGCTCTGTGTCATTTTAAACAGAATTATTATATGTCATAATTAACATAGGGTCTAAGGGAGAGGAGAGCCCTGCTTTGGCTGCTCAGGTACTAACTGTCTTCACCTTTACAAAGTCGAAATGAAAGAAAGCTTCTGTGTACGAAAGCTCAAGTGTATTCCCATTCATTATCAAACAAAAACCTTCTCTAAGCCTTTGGCTTGTTTGAATGGACCAGAAAACATTTGCAAGGATCAGGTATTTAACTGAAGTGTACTTACTGCGGCACAATGACGATCTGAATGAAGCAGATGAATAAAAAGACGAGGGAAGCGCAGGCTACATACGCTCCGAACCTGGCGTCTACCTGTTTGGAGTACTGAGAGAAGGTGAGGAAAGAGGAGAGAAAAGAGTGGAGTTACAAATACAGTTTGAATGGCATGTGAAAGCAAGTAGCGTTTTACCGACTGTGGATGTGTTGATGTTCATTGTTTACTTCAGTTTTTACTGAAACACCAGGGTTCCCAGGTAAATGTTTTTCTTTAACTTTTCCAGTTCTTTGTGATAACTGATACTGCACACATAAAGAGCCATTTCGAGCCCATTAAATATTTTATCTGAGTATAATTAGCAAAAAATTTATGCATTATACATTTTTAGCTTTTACGTTTTAGGACATATCCAGGCCTGGAAATCAAAACTGTAAAATGTCTTAATTTTTCCAGGTTTTCCACAGTACTGGAAACCCTGAAAATAGTAGATATTTTAAAAACTGTTTGTGTAATTCAGTTGCTTGTAAAGTCAAGTCAAGTAAAATAAAATGAAATACTCCAGTCTTCAGTGCACATGATCCTTCAGAAATCATTCTAACATGCTGATTTGGATCTCAACATTTCTTATTAATGTTGAAAACAGTTGTGCTGCTTAATATTTTTGCGGAAACCATGATACATTTTTTTCTGAATTCTTTGATGAATAGAAAGTTAAAAAGAACAGCACTTATTCGATATTTCTTTGGTGACATTATAAATGTCTTTCCCTTTTGAATAATGTAATTCATCCTTTCTAAATAAAACAAAAAAATATTTCTGACCCCAAACTTTTGAACAGTATAGCAAATATGTAAAATATCTAAAAAATAATATCAAGTACATTTCTTTAAAGACTATGAAAGATAACTGTTCAACAAAGACCATGGAAGATAACTGCTTCATTCATGAGCCTAAAATAGACGTTCTGGACACAGACAATGAAAGACAACAAAAGCAATAATTATCTCCCCCTACAAACTGGACGCAAGTCTCTGAAAGAGCCGTGTGATCAGTGCCAGAAGTACGAGGACCGGCACACAACCAGCTAAAAGTGGAGGATGAGAACGTATATGCAGAGGCTGAGAAACTTTCGTTACATTACCCTTTCATCAGTATCTTTATAAAGAAACCTAGTCTCCTACACTGTGACAAAAACGCCATCTTTTCTGGGAAAGTTTGGGCATCTCTCTGAGGTGGGGGAGGTCAGTGGTGACAAATGCTTTGAAGGTAACACCATAAAATGACTTAAATCACAGTGCAGCATAAAGACGTCAGTCTCTGACTCATTCCGAACCTGGACCTTGAATTTCATTGCCATTTCACTCACCCCAAAACAGGAGTAAATGGCTGAGATGAACATGACAGCCATCACGAGGACCAGGCACAGCATATAGAAGCCAACCATCAGCCCAGAGCTGCAGAGCAACACACAGGTGTAGAGAGGGAACCAGGTGAATAGAAAATAGCTCTGTGTCATTTTAAACAGAATTATTATATGTCATAATTAACATAGGGTCTAAGGGAGAGGAGAGCCCTGCTTTGGCTGCTCAGGTACTAACTGTCTTCACCTTTACAAAGTCGAAATGAAAGAAAGCTTCTGTGTACGAAAGCTCAAGTGTATTCCCATTCATTATCAAACAAAAACCTTCTCTAAGCCTTTGGCTTGTTTGAATGGACCAGAAAACATTTGCAAGGATCAGGTATTTAACTGAAGTGTACTTACTGCGGCACAATGACGATCTGAATGAAGCAGATGAATAAAAAGACGAGGGAAGCGCAGGCTACATACGCTCCGAACCTGGCGTCTACCTGTTTGGAGTACTGAGAGAAGGTGAGGAAAGAGGAGAGAAAAGAGTGGAGTTACAAATACAGTTTGAATGGCATGTGAAAGCAAGTAGCGTTTTACCGACTGTGGATGTGTTGATGTTCATTGTTTACTTCAGTTTTTACTGAAACACCAGGGTTCCCAGGTAAATGTTTTTCTTTAACTTTTCCAGTTCTTTGTGATAACTGATACTGCACACATAAAGAGCCATTTCGAGCCCATTAAATATTTTATCTGAGTATAATTAGCAAAAAATTTATGCATTATACATTTTTAGCTTTTACGTTTTAGGACATATCCAGGCCTGGAAATCAAAACTGTAAAATGTCTTAATTTTTCCAGGTTTTCCACAGTACTGGAAACCCTGAAAATAGTAGATATTTTAAAAACTGTTTGTGTAATTCAGTTGCTTGTAAAGTCAAGTCAAGTAAAATAAAATGAAATACTCCAGTCTTCAGTGCACATGATCCTTCAGAAATCATTCTAACATGCTGATTTGGATCTCAACATTTCTTATTAATGTTGAAAACAGTTGTGCTGCTTAATATTTTTGCGGAAACCATGATACATTTTTTTCTGAATTCTTTGATGAATAGAAAGTTAAAAAGAACAGCACTTATTCGATATTTCTTTGGTGACATTATAAATGTCTTTCCCTTTTGAATAATGTAATTCATCCTTTCTAAATAAAACAAAAAAATATTTCTGACCCCAAACTTTTGAACAGTATAGCAAATATGTAAAATATCTAAAAAATAATATCAAGTACATTTCTTTAAAGACTATGAAAGATAACTGTTCAACAAAGACCATGGAAGATAACTGCTTCATTCATGAGCCTAAAATAGACGTTCTGGACACAGACAATGAAAGACAACAAAAGCAATAATTATCTCCCCCTACAAACTGGACGCAAGTCTCTGAAAGAGCCGTGTGATCAGTGCCAGAAGTACGAGGACCGGCACACAACCAGCTAAAAGTGGAGGATGAGAACGTATATGCAGAGGCTGAGAAACTTTCGTTACATTACCCTTTCATCAGTATCTTTATAAAGAAACCTAGTCTCCTACACTGTGACAAAAACGCCATCTTTTCTGGGAAAGTTTGGGCATCTCTCTGAGGTGGGGGAGGTCAGTGGTGACAAATGCTTTGAAGGTAACACCATAAAATGACTTAAATCACAGTGCAGCATAAAGACGTCAGTCTCTGACTCATTCCGAACCTGGACCTTGAATTTCATTGCCTCTATTCATCTTAGCAGCGTGCCACATCTTTGAGCTATGCTGAATACTTTTTTTCTGTACAACAGTACCATAGTGGACGTCTGATTGGCTCTCTGCCCTATTTTTTGCAACTGAAGGAACAATTTACCAGTTATAATAACTAATGATCTGTTAAATGGTTTCCTGCTCACAAGTCATGCAATTTACAACAAAATCCCTAGAAGGCTAGATAATGTCAGCTTGATGATGCATTTAAATCAGAAGAACTTTTTTTTTATTATTTAAGCTTGACAGGCATAAAAACACACTCACATGATCAACTTATGTAAGGTGCAATCAAGATTTTCTGTGGACAACAATGTGAAAAATGTTCATTTTGGCCTATTCTTCACAAGAGGTTTTCATATAGTGCATAACTTACATACACTGTAGACTAATTTTATAGTGGGTTTTTTGTGTCATTTTTGGAGCTTGACAGCTGTGATCTTGACAGCGGTTAATTAAGCATTCATTATCTACTATTTTAGTATTTGTTAATATTAAGCTTTTATTTTTATATTTTTATTTTTCATTTTAATGTTTTATTAATTTTGTTATATGCTTTTGACATTTTTGTTAGACTTTTTTTATTTCTATCTAGCTTTAATTTATTTTTATTTCAGTTTTAGCAATTTTAGTACATCAACTTATTTTATTTCAGGAAGTTGCCATTCTATTTTATTTCATATTTATTTCAATAAACAAAAATAGTTTTTTTTTTCAATGTATGGAAAAGAGCAGTGTGAACACTTTGCTAAATTTCTCCTTTTGTGTGGTTCACGGAAGAAAAAAGACATTGTGTGGATTAGCATTACCTAATAAATCAGGTTGTGGTGTTAAGGTTTATCTTATCATTGAAGCTAGTCACAGACATGAAAGCCATACCTTCTTCTCCAGGTCAGGTTCTTGGAATGTCAGCAGAAATTTCTTGACTTGTTCGGACCGCAATCGGTCGATGCTTCGAGCGTCAATGGCACGTCCCAGAAACTCATCCACCTCATCCTCAGGGTTCAGGTTTTCTTGCGTGTTTCTGAAAATGAAATGTCTAGATAACAAGACGAGACACAGTTTTTCTACCTTCTTCCTCCCCTCTTAGTTATCCTTTAACTTAAAGGGGTCATATGATGCTTTTTTAAAGATCATTATTTTGTGTATTTGGTGTAACAGAATATGTTGACATGCTTTAATGTTCAAAAAACACATTATTTTTCAAATACTGTACATTATTGTAGGTCCTCTATGCCCCGCCTCTCTCAAACGCTTAGTTTTCTACAAAGCCCCCTCCTTCCGACAAGCGCAGTCTGCTATGATTGGCCAGCTGACCCAGTGCATTGTGATTGGCCGAACACTGCAAGCACTCGTCGGAAATGTAACGCCCCTTACCATTATCGCGAGCTTCATCTTTCAAAATAAATGTAAAGACAGAGCCCGAAAGGGGAACAGAGTCGCGTGACAGACACAGTGATGAAGCTGGTATGTGCTCTCTCGCGCTCGCTCTCTCTCTCGCTCTCTCTCTCTCTCTCGCACGCTCTCTCTCTCGCGCTCTCTCTCTCTCTCTCTCTCTCTCTCACTCTCTCTCTCTTCGCCTAGAAACACACAGCGTCTCCCTGACATGCTGCTTCAACACTAACTGCGGTTACTGAAACCACGCCTTCTTTCTTTGCACATTTGGGCGGGCCGCATTATGCAAATATTTCCACATAGTGAGGTAGATATGTGGGGGCGTGTTAGAACGAGCCGTTTTAGGGGGGCGTGGCAGAGTCTTAACTTTGATAAAGAATATCTCTTTGGTTTTGAGACTTTAGTCTTTGCAACTTCAGGGATCTTATCTATGCACAATCAGCTTGTAACACTCCAAAGAGAAAGGAAAAAATTAAATTGCATCATATGACCCCTTTAAGGAAACTTTTGTCTTGTCTCCCGAGGCCACAGGAGGGCGCAATGAGCAAAATAATG